CTTGCCATATCAAGGGATGAGGATATCCCTGCTTTGGTCTATGAGGCACGGCCAGTTACTGATCATGATTCAGTTCCATCCAATGGAGAGGTGCAGAGAAGGGTATGGAGGGAAAGAAGGCATATTGAATCTGATTTCATTGATAACGTAGAGGCAAGTTCTGAGTCAAATCCAGTTGGGAGTAATACTTCCAATGCAAGTCGTGTTAGTGGGATGTCATTGTCCTTGGAAACAAATGAGAGGGAGAGAAACTTGGTTGCTGCTGAAGAGGGTAGAGTTGCAACACTGGATTCAGAGCTCTCTGCTCCACTTATCCAACATAGGATTGATGTCCAGTTGAATTTGCAGGAAGGGCCAAGTGACAATTCTGCACTCGAGGGGATCGGCCTGGGCTCCTCAGGGGCAATCAAGCTTGGGCTTGGGGATTTTATATTCTACAGTGTATTAGTTGGTAGGGCTGCAATGTATGATTTCATGACAGTTTATGCCTGCTACCTGGCTATTATAGCTGGTCTAGGTATTACTCTGATGCTTCTTGCATTTTATCAGAAAGCTCTGCCAGCGCTTCCAGTATCTGTATTGCTGGGTGTGTTATTTTATCTATTGACCAGGCTTTTACTTGAAAATTTTGTTGTACAATGTTCTATAAACCTTCTGATGTTTTAGAAATCTTCCAGATGAAGTCTGCTTTTTCCATGCTGCTTCGCTTATCAGTGTAATTGCCATTGTTCCTTTTTTTTTTGGGCTTTTGTTCTTCTATGCTATGCTATATCTGTAGCTTCTTAGTCAGTCTTAGAATTCTGTTCATACCCCGATCTCAGCTAATTTTTACTAGGCATAAAACTCTTACATGACATACAGGTTTCTAGCTATGGAGACAGTTGGATTGCACAACAACTAAACAGTTTCAGGCAATTAGTAAATAAAATAGCAAGAGATAAAATTATTTTGGCTTCCAGTTCATGTGAAGATAGATGGCATCAATATTCAAATGGGGTATAGGAATAATCAGGATGTGCAAATTGTTAGCACATTGAAAAGCATTAAAGCGTAAGCAACTTAAGAAGGTGCTACTGGAAATTCAGAACTTGTCTGTGGGTCAGAGAATGATGTAGGTTGTTGGAGAACTGATAACAGCATATTGACGACATATTTGGTAAATGGAATGTGGTTTTTCATACATTCAATTAATAGCAAATATATTTGTGCCATTCATACTTTTTGTATATTTGTACTTTGTGATTGAATTGCTTTAGTAGCAGAGAAACATTAGGTATTGAACGTAACCCGAGGAGTTTGCTGGCATCACCCTAACCTTTTATTTGAAACTGCCCCTAACTTTTTCAGTTGAAAGTTGAAATCAATGAAAGTCTACTTCATATATCTAGTATTTTGTATAGTTTAGACTCTGCAATGTGAACCAATACCTAGGACATGCCATAAGAATGAGTGTTTGATAACATCATATTTATTAATCCTTATGTGATGGTCTAGGTGTTCTTGAATACTTAATATATAACAAAGAAAAGCAAACTTATTGGTACAGCTTCCCAGTTCGGCTTATTAGTAAAATCTTGTCTGCTCTTATTAAGTAGTCCAGTTTGAGGCTCTGTTGAAACATGGATTCTAACTTCAGGTATATTATCAACAGCACTTGACATTCTTTTGTGGATTTTCCTTTAACGTGTACCCTTCCCCTCTTGTTTGTTGTGATGCAATATTAAGTGCAGCTAATTGGCATGGATAAACTCATCAGCATCTTGAGATTTCTCTAGGATAGAAATGGAAGAAATTGATGAACAAATTCTAGATTTTTAAGCAGATATGTATTAACATTGAACTTTGGTTTTTAAATTGAAATTTTTTGTTACTAACTGTTGTGATCCTTCAGTCCATTCTATTCATTTTTTCTTTAACGCAAGGATTCTGATTTGTAAACCAAGGATCAAGACAATGTTTTGGCCATTATTGAAGTTTGTTTGTCCCCTTTTGGAAGGTTTGAATCTGCTTCCTGTTATCCAGTCACCTTTGAAGCCAAGCGCTTCCATGAGCTATTTATCAGAGTATAGCGTAACCAAAAAGGGTAGATAAGTACTTCATGAAGTACTTATGCTCAAACAAGTTTGTTCTCTCACTTTATATCTGCTAGTTCTATATAAATATTTGGAAGTTCTTTTTCTGATCTGTCATACTAGAGTTTCTTGAATTAGTGTGAATCTTATCATAAGGTAGGTGTTTTTACAGAACGAAACTTATAAAACAAAAAAAAGAGAAAAAGACAAAGAGAAGGATGCATCTACTAGTGACCTTTAGATGCTTTCTGCAAATAGCCATTTAGATTCCAACAGGACTGAGAATGGCAGAATTTCTTTTATAGTGACATGGAAAGGAGCTGTGCCTAAGAATGCAGCTGGCAGGGCAGTATGGACTAATCCTTCCCTGAAGGTTAAACAAGTCAAGGTTGAGTTTAGATGGTTTAATAGTTAATCCAGTAGGTGAATATTTAGAACAATGAAAGTCAGCTTTGTCTAACAAAAGGCATTCAATGTTGCTTAACAGGTTAGAATTATGAATATCATGGAAGGCTGCCAAATCTGAGACCAGCTAATAAAGAGGAAATAAATATTCTTTGATACATTTACCATTGAATATGAAATTGTTAATAATTTGTTCTTAGGCTAGAGAAGCAATTAAATAGATAATCTTATTGCAAAGAAAATTAGATTGTGCAAAACATAGTCACACTTGTGCATATGCTACGAGCCTTATTTTGGTTGCATCAAGAAGCTAGAATCCAGGATCAAGAACATGGAGAAAAATGCCTTCGTACCCAAGCATTCTGATTACTAGAAGTCTTGGAGTTTTACAATCTCTTGAATGCTCCTAAACTAATAGAAACTCTTCATGCTTTGCTACATTTATGCATTAGAAGCTATTATCATTTTCATTTTTTTTTCTTTCTTTTCTCTTTTATGTGGATGAGAAGTGTTTATATGTCTCTGTAACTGCTCTAGCAGAAACTATACTCACCAATAGGATCCTTCCAAATTCAATCATGCTTTCTAGTCTATTTAATCTCCTGCACAAGCAAAAGAATGAGACTGTCTGCAGCTATTTCGAAGAGTTTCATGACATGTTACAAGAGGATAATCTGGAATCATCTTCAGTACTTCGAAGATTGTGAAATTCAATTGACTGCATGGTTCTAGGCACAATTCTTCCTTAATGTGTTTGATCAATAAGGCTCTGCGTTGGACAGCATATAATGTCTATTTATGATTAAAAAGATGCTTATCATGTTATTTGTGCATTTCCTTTTCGCGCAACTGCCACAACTTGTGTATGGTATCTTTCCCTGGTTGAATTTCAGAGCAGTCTCTCTCGCACAATAGTGGGGGAAAAGAGGCTTCTTGTTAACAAGATTTACAACAAAGGTTAGATATTACAGAAGAAGAATAGTAATTCCCACAGAAACTTCTAGCTCCATGTCCTCCTGCTCTTTGGAAGGAACGTTAATCACACAAAGACAGATTCTAGGAACTGATTGACAAATAGGAAAATCTAGTTGATGCTAGATTCCAGCTTAGTTGATGCCAGGTTGCAGCTTAAATAGTCCAGCTTAATTGATGCCAGATTCCACTGTTCCATATGTTTTAATGGTCTAGTACTGTTTCATTAGCATTTAAATGCACAGTGGAATTGATTATTCGATTCTTGGGTCCCTTGAGGTGCCTCTGTTTCTTCAGGTTTTCATAAACAATCATGTTTCCTTGTATATGCGTGTAAATCATTGTCTGATCAAGTTGAAGAATAGGATTAATCTACCATGAGAGGAGCATTTAAAGCTTTTCAATACTCGATCTTTCTTATTCAGCTCTATTAAAAGAAAAAGATTGCCAATGAATGCCACCGCCGTAACATCATAAAAAGATGGTTGAGGCGTTTCTGCATATCCATTTTAGTTAACATTAGCACGTCTAGATGTAGGCGCATACATACATTTGATTATGCACTTTAACTTGTTTTAGAATTCTAAGATTATGATATTTTCATGTGAAATTTTGTTTTGCATTGACCAATAATTGGTCAAGTCTTATGCTCCAAATAAGCAGGATTCAGCTAAATATTGATTCAACGTAAGATGACATTGAATGAAGAAACCAGCTATTGGCTTTGCAAGCTGCAGTACATTGGATATTACCGCTCTGATTTGTCTAGAGGTAGTGGTCCCTTTGCAGGACCATAGTTAGTGGACCTCTAGTTGTCTTATGATTTGTTGTGTAGTTCTCATATTTACTTTTCTGCAGTCATTGAATGCTCTAGTCATCAGAAGATCTCTACCTTTCGTTCAAGGCATGAAGCGACGTCTTCGTAGGACCAAGTCATTTGAAAGAGTCTCTACTTGTGACATAGGATGGGTTGGAGAGGAAACGTCTGTACAATATTGATGCTTTTGAGCTTTTAGTGGAGCAGAAAGGTTTGCTTGCTGCTGAAACATGTAGTTCTCGTATTAAAGTAGGTACGGTAAAGAGTCATAAGCAGCCTAATTAAACTTCTGCATTTCGGCCGATTTATGATTTCTTGCAAAAGTTTCAGAATATTTCCAGATTCTGCGGACTTGGAAAAACTGGCATGCATCACAACGCACCTTTATTTCATACTTGTTTGCAGTAATTTGAAAGGGCAATTTGACGTCAAAAGATTAATGTTAGACATATCGAAATTGAGCATATTTTTTTAATTTTATACTAATGAATTGATTGTCTGATTCAACATTGAACAGGCAGTTCAGTTAAATATTGCACGATAATAGGTAAAGAATATAAGTACTTAGAGAGATACAGCACATTTGATCTCGTGTTCCAAACTTCAGACAAGGATTGTAAAGTTGATAAATATGATTGATCTGGCAAACAATTTTTTCTATTATGACATTGCACTTACAAAACAATTGGGAAAAAGGCACAAGAAGACTACTGGTGTCTTAAATGAGACCAAGTTCACCTCCTCTTTGCATGGTTCAGAGACTTGGGAGATCCCTCGAAAAGATCCCAAATATAATTCCCCAAGTCATCTTCAGTATACTTGATGTATTTGTCACTAATACAACACTTTGCTAACCTAGAAGCAAATGGCCTGTATGCATGGATAACTTTCTGTGAAGTTGAGATTCTCAACTCTTCTCGTAGTTGAGCATCTGGGATCTTCCATGCTGTCTGGCTTTTGTATACTTCCTCAAAAGCTGTATTAAATTTCCTGCATTTGTCTTTGAGCATCGCCTTCCCTTTGCTGCCATCATCTTTTAGCTGAGAAAGTATAGAACTCCATGTGATTCTTTCATAGCATGTCTCGTGCTGCCTGAATTTCCAAACATGTCTTCTGATCCATTCATCACCAAAGTACCACCTTAATTGTGAATTCTCAATCTTTTGGACCATGTAATGAATGTTATTCATCATAAAGATGTGCTTCAAAGATTCATCTCCATAAAGATCAGATTTGGTGTCCAGATTGGCTTCCAAAACTGAAGTAACAGACTTTAGGGTATGTGCCATGGGACTTGTATTATTCAAATTGATTATCTGGGAGACCTCTGCTTGAGAAAATTGATCTGTATTCTCCAGATTTTGTTCTTCTAGGAGTGAATTGAGGGTATCGCCATATTCTACCAGTAACATGATATAGTTCATCACATACCTGGTCAGATGGGTAATACTTCCACTAGTAAACGGTATTGTTGAAGTGTTTGAGGCAACATGGTTTCCAAATTCAAGGAAGATTTCCTTCGCAGAATTGCTTAATCTCTTCAGAAGCTCATGAAACTCAATCTCAACTAAAGAACCAGCCTCTTCTGCAAACAAATCACCTAAATCTGGGAGAAATTTTGACAGAGTTTCATACATATCTAGCAAACAAAAAAGTCTTTCTGGACGAGGGGGGCAAATTAGGACAGCCTGTCCAAAGTTCAAAAGGCACGATACAGAAGCCTTTGAAGTTTCAATAAAGCAAGACGAACTAGTGCTTCCAAATTCCCCCAGGATTTTGTCAAAGAGCCGTTTCTGACTTGCAAGATAGAAGCCAACAATTCTTCTGGTTGCACGGCACCAAATTCTGATTCTGTAGGTCAAGCGCTTCCAGTCCATCTTAAGAACATCATCGATGCTGAGTTGTTTTACATGGAGATTGATCAAGTAATCATCCAATGCCTGCTTCCAAAAGCTAATGAAAGTTTGGCAAAATTCCTTATCATAATTAGAAGCAAACATCAATTCTGCAATACATTTGATCAGAGGAATTGCACGTGGATGGACCAAATCCACTATATACTGCTCACAATCAGGGCCTCTTCTCCCCCTCTGAGATAGGATCTCAAACGATTCATCCTCGTTTGGTACTATCGATTCCTCCTCCAAAGAAGCCACCTGGCAAGACTCGAGTAAAACAAATTCATGCTCAAGGGGTTGCATATTCTTGGAAAGGATGTGAACCAGTTCTTCCTGGAGCCTTGCCATTGCCTTGTGCAGAATATTCTCAGCTTCATCCAGTAGCTGCTTTACTTTCCTAGTTTGGTTTGAGGGCATGTTCTGCAAAATTTCTGCCAACCTTCGAACTTGGTCAACTGCTTTTAAATATCCATAATCCTCGCCAGGACCTAAATCCCAAATCTTCAAGCTTCTTGACTGGAAACTCATGATCTTTCTCTGGGCAAACTTGAGCTTATTTTCCATCTCCCTGGTCCTGTCAGCCTCATTCTCCTGAACTTCAGTCATCTTGGACAATTGAACATCAAGATCGGTTAGAATTCTTTTCATGTCATTGTTCAAGGTCTTACTAGCCCCAAGTGCCTTCACAATATGATAGGCAGCAGCAATCAGATGCTGTTCACTTTCAGCGGCTGCTGTTTCGGATTCACAGTACTCCATAGCCAAGCGATCAGAGTAATATTCTGGACAGCTCTATCGACTAGAAATTACGAAAGAAGCAGGAAAAAAAGGGTCCAACCAAAAAAAAAACTCCAGGCTTCTTCCTTTTAGAAGTTTTCATGTCCATTGGCATGAGATTCACTGAAGTCTATCACGATTCAAGGTTCATACACAAGACAATTCAGTTTATGCTGATCATAGATGTCACAGGAACTTGTGAACTATGATGAAACACAGAAAGAGAAAGAACTGGAGAAAAAATGGGAAGCCGGGACAAAGACTAATATTGCTGATAAGTTGGAAGCAAATGTCTTGTTTGTTTCTTGAAATTTGTAGACTAACAAGCTAACAAGCTAAGGCGTGGAAATATCTAAGTAAGCAATTCAGAAATTGCAAAAGATCTTGGAGTACAAGATATTAGCAACCAATTACGCGTTATTTTGGGAAACCAAAAAAAAAAGTGTTCAACCAGAAAGGGATGGTGGGCTGTGGCCTCAAGTGCCTCAACAAAGTCTTCCTATGGTTCCTTTTCAAATATGATTGAGACATTTAAGACATTACGAGGTTAAAAAATGAAATTCAAATGCTAATAGTAAAAGTTAACAACAGAAGTCGGGAAATGAATGCTTTTCTAGGCAACTTCTTCTGCCTGCCACAGAAATAACAAAACAAAACATATATATATCTATATATATATATATAGAATTGTTGATAATAAATAGGATGTAGTCGTAGAATTGAGGGATCAACATCAAAGGCTTTTCTGGGCAATTTCTGCTGCCTGCCACACAAATAACAAAAAGAATTGATAATAAATAGGATGTACGTGTAGGGTATAACTCACGATATCATCATCTGCTTATGACAGCCTTAACTAGACCTGAGCAATAAACTGTCTTGGAATGGTAGTTCGAATTTTACCTCTGTTGTTTGTTTGCGTTGAACAAATAATTATATAGTATATTAACCAGTTTAAGGTACATGTGATTAAAAAAATAGTTCCTACTTGAACTCACAAATTCATACATATCTCTCTCTCTCTAAAGGTTGGAGTCTTTCTTTAATAGCAAATAGAAAATGTAAGGTCCGAAAACAACCCTTTTCTAGCCGACCACACAATGGAGCAGTTGATAAGAAAGCACAAGTGCTTGTGAGTAGAAGAGATAAACAATTTAAAGATCATAAATGTAACAATAAGTAAAAGGAAAGAATTGCAAACCAATTAACTACTCAGCTCCTCTTGAGCTTCAAACAAGTTACTTCAAATTGATGAATTACAATCACTTTTGTGTACAAAGGAAGGTTCACCTCCTCCTTGCCCCGAACTCCCTCGGTCAAGCCAGGACGTTTTACTATCCCTCAGGACAACCATCACAGCTACACTCATGAAGTATTCACTCACAAATGAAAAGCTTACAATGAATCTCACACCACTAAGACTACAAATCTTCTTTGAAGAGTATTTTCTCACTAAAATCTCTCTAGATCTTTTGTATCTTCAGTGTGCCAAAGTTGTTTGAAGTGTCCGACCAACCACTATTTATATAGGACCAACAAAGTGCCTGATTAATGTTTCCAACGGATAGGAAGTAGTTGAACAGTCAACTAGCCGTTGGTAGTGTCGGACGTCCGATAGCCCTGTTTTAAGCGTCCGACAGCAGGCAGTGAGTTTGAGAAATTTTCTTCAATTCTTTCGGATGTCCAATAGGCTGGTTTTCTGCGTCCGAAGGTATGATGTAAAATTGAAAATTTTTCTTCATTTCCTTAGGACGTCCGATAGGCTGGTTTTCTGCGTCCGAAGATACTCAATGGTTGTCGGACGTCCGATGCAGTCTTTTTGAGCGTCCGACAGTTTCAGCATACTTTGTCTTCTTTCAATTGCACTTGTTCATGGAATCAAATAACTTCATAACTGAAAATATATCTTGAAGAAATATCAGTATCATCCATTTGTTTTGTAAGTATCAAAAGATAGGGATCAAGATCAACATTCTCCCCCTTTTTGATGATGACAAAATAATGGATGGAAGGAAGGAAAAAGATTGAGCATAAACTCCCCCCTCACTCATGGCAACCAAACTTATAATTTCAGAATAACTCCCTCTAACACATAGCATCCATTTCTCCCCCTTTTTGTCATCATAAGATGAGAGTAAAAATCAGCTACAAAAAACCAGCAACAGTAACAGAGAATCCAATAATCCAAATAAAAACAGAGAAATGACAGCAATCACAGCAATTACCAACATATCACAGAAAGATTAACAAAGCAAATCATCGTTAAATCAGAATAGTTCTTTTCTCTCCCTTTTTGATATCATACAGATTCAGTAGTATTCAAAAATATCAGCGAAAACTCAGATCAAAGTATAAGAAATATCAAAAAATTATGAACAAGAATCATTGCAATGATTAACAAAATCTCCTACTTGTTAAAGTTAGTATCATGTCTAACTATCCACATGTATTTCATGCCTCTTCTCATATTCTTTTTCACATAACAATCATTTTTCATGTGACCTTTTTGACAACAAAAATTACACATAACCAAAGAGTTATTTACATGAACAGGTTTAATAAATTTTACTTGTCTTCTCTTACAAATAGCAAATTCATTAGAATTCAACCTATTCTTTTGAAAACAGACTTGTTTCTTGTGTTCAAGTAACTCATTTAGACCATCCATTCTTCTTTTCAAATCACCTTGTTCCTTTTTGAACAATTTACAAAACTTTATTTTTCTATCAAGCTCAAAATATAAAGCAGTCTCACTCTTTTTGAAGTAATCATTTTCAACTTTCAACTTTTTATTTTGTTGAAAAAGATTTGCATTATTTCGAAACAAAAAACTAATTTTCTGTTTTAATTTCTTGTTTCTAGCATAGGATTCTTTCAAACTATCATGCAATTTTATAAGGAAAGATTCAAGATCATCATCAGTTTCATCATCATTTTCAAATTGAGAGATAGAAGATGTTACCTCATCATCTCTAATGGCCATAAAAGCCAATTGGGCAGATTCTTCATCCTCTTCAATTTCACCATCGGAGTTGCACTCATTCCATGTGAATTGAAATTTTTTGAATCTTGGTTTTCTTCCTTCTTTCTTCTTCATCATTGGACACTCACTTGCATAGTGTCCAGGTTGGCCGCATTCAAAGCACTTATCAGTTTGCTTTTTGTTAAACTCTAGCTTCCCTTTGTTTCTCAGGTTGTTGAACTGATTTGGGAGTGAATTGTTAGGTTCATCTTTTCTGAATCTCCTCTTGTTAAGTATTCGTTTGAAACTTCTTGTGATGAGTGCGATATCATTGTCATCACCTTCTGCATCATCTTCATCTAGGGAGGCAAAATCATCTTCATCTTGAGATGTCTTTAGAGCAATGCTCCTTCTTACTTTCACATCCTCATCCTCTTGCATTTTAGACTTAAGCTTCAGCTCATAAGATGTTAGAGAATTAATAAGAGATTCAATAGGCATAGTATTCAAATCTTTAGCTTCCTCAATAGCAGTCACTTTATTTTCTCAATCATTAGACAAGGCATTCAGGATTTTTCTATTTTTCTCACCAAGAAAATATTCTTTTTCCAGCACCTCTAAATCCTTAATGAGGTCATTGAATTTACAATACATCTCATCAATGTTTTCATGAGGTTGCATCTTGAAGGATTCATACTTTGTAACTAAAATGGATTTCTTTTGTTCTCTAACATTCTCACTACCTTCATGAATTTCTCTCAGTTTATCCCAAATTTCCTTGGCTGACTTGCAGCATTTGACTCTAATAGATTCATTTGAGTCTAAAGCACAATATAACACATTCATGCCTTTTGCATTTAATGTGAGATGAGCTCTATCCGCAGCAGTCAGTTCACTTCTTGTTTTTGGTCTAGATCTCTGAGTATTTTCATCTATAAGAGAGGCATCATAAGCACCTTCACTAATAATAAACCACAATTCAATATCAATAGATTGCAAAAAGATAATCATTCTTTCTTTCCAACTCACATAATTTGACCCATTAAACATAGGTGGTCTAATCACAGAATGTCCTTCAAAAAACATAGCATTGTTGGTTGTCATCTTTACTCCAAAGCCGATTGAGCTTAATCTCTAGGAGACCAAGCTCTGATACCAATTGTAAGGCCCGAAAACAACCCTTTTCTAGGCGATCACACAATGGAGCAGTTGATAAGAAAACACAAGTGCTTGTGAGTAGAAGAGATAAACAATTTAAAGATCATAAATGTAACAATAAGTAAAAGGAAAGAATTGCAAACCAATTAATTACTCAACTCCTCTTGAGCTTCAAACAAGCTACTTCAAATTGATGAATTACAATCACTCTTGTGTACAAAGGAAGGTTCACCTCCTCCTTGCTCCGACCTCCCTCGGTCAAACCAGGACGTTTTACTATCCCTCAAGACAACCATCACAGAACTACACTCATGAAGTATTCACTCACAAATGAAAAGTTTACAATGAATCTCACACCACTAAGACTACAAATCTTCTTTGAAGAGTATTTTCTCACTAAAATCTCTCTAGATCTTTTGTATCTTCAGTGTGCCAAAGTTGTTTGAAGTGTCCGACCAACCACTATTTATATAGGACCAACAAAGTGCCTGATTAATGTTTCCAACGGATAGGAAGTAGCTGAACAGTCAACTAGCCGTTGGTAGTGTCGGACGTCCGATAGCCCTGTTTTAAGCGTCCGACAGCAGGCAGTGAGTTTGAGAAATTTTCTTCAATTCTTTCGGACGTCCGATAGGCTGGTTTTCTGCGTCCGAAGGTATGATGTAAAATTGAAAATTTTTCTTCATTTCCTTAGGACGTCCGATAGGCTGGTTTTCTGCGTCCGAAGATACTCAATGGTTGTCGGACGTCCGATGCAGTCTTTTTGAGCGTCCGACAACTTCAGCATACTTTGTCTTCTTTCAATTGCACTTGTTCATGGAATCAAATAATTTCATAACTGAAAATATATCTTGAAAAAATA